TGAGCTGACATCCTCAAGTTGTACTCTGGTTTACACACACATGTGCACACACATGCACACACACACACACACAGTGAATAAATATGAATTGACTCCTGCAAGTTGTCCCCCCACACACACACACGTGCATGCACAATGAATAAATGTAGGAAATTTGAAATAGAATAGTATTATTCTGAAGCTGGGCACAGACTTGTAATCTAGGACCTGTGAGGCTAAGACAAGATTTCAAGGATTACCATCAAGATCAGGCTAGCCTAGGCTACATAGTGAGTTCTAATCTGGGCTACAGAGTGAGACCCTGTCTCAGCAGCAACAACCACAACAACATAAGATTGTTCCGGATGCTAGGAATTGGAAACACGCGTGGACAGAGCAGTGCGGACCCAGCTGCTACTGGGGAGGCTGAGAGGGGAAGAGCCCAGGGGTTTGAGGACAGACCAGCTCAAAAACATAAAGGGGAAGAGGGAGCAAGCGGTGAAGGGAAGGAAGGAGACAGACTCAAAGGTTGGCTCTGTAGGATTCATCTAGTCCCCGAAAGTGACTCAGCCTCGCCTAGTTTGACAGCGCTATGTCCCTACGCTGCTTCGAGTCCATTTTCCAGGCAGTGGTTCGTCCCCCTGGGTGGGCGAGAAGGCTTACGTACAGAAAGCATACTGTGTCCAGAGTGTAGTGGTATCATAGCTGATCTCCAGCTTGGTGGTCCTAAGTTGGTTTTTGTGGGGTGGGGTGGGGTGGTGTGTCAAGACAGGGCTTCTCTGTGTAGCCTTGGCTGTCCTGGAACTCGCTCTGTACACCAGGCTGGCCTTGAACTCCAAGATCTGCCAGCCTCCTGGGATGGGATTTGAGGTGTGCCCCACCACCCAATGGTGATTCTAAATTTTAAAACTTTTTTTCCCTTAACCCTGGCTCTGGGTGCTAAAATCATCATACACACACACACACACACACACACACACGATGCCACAGCCCTTCCTCTAGCTATGTGAACTATGGTAACAGCAAAATTAAGAGTTTATTTTGTTTTGAAACAGGGATTTTTACTCTGTCACCCCGACTGGTCTGGGACTCTGGTGTCCAATGCTGGGGCCGCAGGCATGCACCATCGCACCCAGTCCATGGTGAAACGATTGGCTTTTACAAGTCTGCTGTACCCCTGAGTGTAGAAGCCAAGGAGCTGGACAGAGTACTCATCTAGCGTATGCAAAGCCCCAGTTTGAGGCTCAGCCGTCAAGAAACTGGCTGTAGGGACACAAACCTGTACCCCAACATTTGAGAGCTTCTCTCCTGTAACTCCCTAGAGTGGGTCCACTCTGACCCCCCCCCCGATATGTGTTCAAGTCCTGAGCCCTGGACCCTGTAGATACAGCCCTCATTTGGAAAGGGTCTTGGCTGTGTGAGTAAGTGAAGGGTCTCAAGAGGAGACCAGGGTGGTTGAGATGGCTCAGTGGAAAAGGTGCTTGTCGCTAAGCCTGACTCCAGCTTCTGAGGGTTGTCCCTTGATCTCACCTGACCTCTGCCTGTGTGCATGTGCAATGTCAGACTCGTGTGCGTGTGTGTGCGTGTGCATGTGTATGAGTGTGCAGCACATAGACCCTTGCGTACACATAATTTTTAAATGTTTTAAATCTTAAATAAATACTTGCTTCAAGGTTGTTGCAAGGATTGGTCAAGTAAGCCCAGCAACCCTGCAGCTGCTGTTACTGCTCATTAATCCCCCTTTGCCTCCTTTGGGTCCCCAACACCACTAAGGCTCCATCTCAAGAGTCTGTAGAGCTTAGGTTCCAGTGGAGAGTGCAGAGGTCCCAGCACGGAGGTCACATAGCTGCCGGGGACCCAGGACTCTTGTTTGAGGCCCCACCTCCTCAGTGCAGCCCCCATCACACACACTCAGTTCCCAGACAGTGCTGGGTGCTCAGTGCCTCCAGCTTCTTACTGACTTCCAGGAGCGAGTTAAGTCTTGCTGGGTTGGGTCTGTTTCAGGTCGGAGTGTAATCTACCCTATGACGCTTATCACATTTCTGGGGCACCTTCCCCTAGCTTTGAAGAGTGGCAGCAGCCAAGGCTGCCATAAAGGGGCGGCAGGACTTTTACAAGCAGCCTTTAATGCCCTGCGGTCTCGGCTTCCTTAATGGGGATTTTCCTCCCCCTCCTTTTCCTCTTTGCCTTTAATATGGTCCCGGGTTTGGCTTTCCCAGTGTGGTTTGGATTCCTCATGGAAAAGTCAAAACCATTGAATCTCTTCCAGGCCTCCCCTCCCTCATCCCTGTGGGCTGACTGCGCCAAAGCCCCAAGTCTAAAAAAGAGGCATTGCTCAAGAGACCCACCCTGCTGGGGTTCAGAGGAGCTAACTGCAAACTGTTCTGCCTCAGAGTAGCTGACCCCTGGGCTGGTGAGGGGACATGAGCCCTCACCCATGGCCGGGTGGCCTCGCTTCTGGAGCCAGAAGTGCTTTCCCCAGGTGGGGTCTTCCTTCCCCTCACCTCATCCTTCTGCGAGCCTCCGCACTTCCTGGAGGCCTGAAATGCATCTTCCACTCTAGTTCTGTCTACAGCCCTGCAGGACAAGGCTTCTTCAGGGGTGCAGTTAGGATGAGGGCTGGCAAGGGAAGCCAGATGACCCCCCACATCTCCCTCCTTCCCTCTCTCTGTCCTCTCACAGGATGGGAAGGGTAGGAGTGCCACTTGCGGAGGGTGATGCCTCTCCAGGCTGCCCCAGCTTCTTCTATTTCTCATGGGCCTTCAGGGTTCTGCTGGCACCTCTAGACTGCTGGTGTCATAGAGTCTGGTTGGTCTTACAAGCAGCTAGCTCCAGTGGGGAGCCCCAAACTCCAGCCCTGGGACACCCATCTTTTTTTCAGTCCCGAGAGCAGTCTCCCTGCACCAAGCGTCAGCTTAATGGCAAAGGCTGCTGTGCACAACATCTGCCAGCCACACACACACATACATCTGTGACAGGCAACCAAAAGGGATAAGAAGCCAAAAGGCAGGGACATGGAGGACATTTTCCCCTATGAGGAAGTGTCACTCTTTCTTAATAAGTCACCTTTTTGGCTTCTTGGCAAGGGAACCCCATGGTGGAGTTCTTGTCTGCAAGTGCCCAGACATTTGACTTGAGAGCATGGGGGAAGGGAAGCTTTGGGGCAGATGCTCAGGCAGAGATGGGGAGTGAGCGTGCCCAGGAGGTTCTTACTGGAGCACCTACTGCACATGCTAGGTAGGTCCTGGGAGCAGGTGGGGGGTGAGCTGGGCCCCACCAGATGTGGAGCAAGACTCCCAGCATGGAAGGGCTGTGTGAACGAGAAGCCGGCCACACAGGCTCAGTGTTCTGGCGGTCCTGCCCCACCAATGCACTGTGACCTGCACTGTGGTGACAGGGAGGTCAGAGGCCTCTGCAGCCTCTTCTAGCAGGTCCCAAGGACCCCTACATTCCCTTTTCCCTGCCAGAGGCTGCTTGGGGAAACAGCTGGACTCTACCTGAAGGAGGCCTCTTAGCCAGAAGTGGCACAGTGGGTGCCCTGGGGTGCAGCTTCGGGGATAGGAGGGAGGGAGGTCGGCTACCCAGGTCTCTCTGGAAGCACTGTGAATCACCCTCACCGGTGGTCTCATGGCTGTTTGTCACTCCAGAAGCATTTGTTGAGCTCATACCGGGCCAGGCTGTTTTCCTTCTTCCGGTTTTTTCTTCTCAAGCGATAATAAAGTTGGCCACTGGGGGCGCCAGGCTCTCATCTAGCCAAATGAGCCACTGTGTTAAAGAGAAAGCTCAAGGCTGAACCTCATTGGCTCATACTGGGTCCCGCCCATGCTTCAGCCAATCACCGTGTCTCTGGTTGATTAGCCTGTGTCACGTGCTAACTAACTTCTTGCCAGGGGGTGTGGTTAGCCTTTTTGGCATTAAGGCCTAACATGAAGGAGGCCTTCTCCAAAGGACAGTGGGGCAGATGGGGTCAGCAGAAAGGTGTCACAGCTCTAGGTGCCCTTGTCATCTACTGGCCCCGCGGGTTCCTTGGTGTGTCTTGTCACCTATACTATCACGGGCAGAAGGGTGAGCCAGGTGCCCTAGGAATGGGTCATGCATTGTGGATATTCTAAAATGAGAAAGATAATTCCTAGCTCATGTCATATTCAAGCAAGGCCTTCTGAAAAGGGGATGGACACTGACCCCACACACTGACCCTCACTGGGACCAGAAGTGTCCATGTGTAAGGCCATGAGCATCAGACAGTCTGTGGGGGGGGGGGCAGCTCAGTAATGGAGCATTTACCTAGTGTATGTGAGGTCCTGGGTTCAGTTCCCAGCATAGGGACCGTGGGGGAGAACCAGCTGCATTTACTAGGCCAGAAAAGAGCCGTGTGTTGACGTCCTCGTGATCAGCGTGCATTTGTTATGACTGAACACACCGAATTGTTCATCATGACTGAGCAAGACCTGAGGGACCGGGACTTCCTGTCAATCTCGCCCATACCTGTTGTGGGATGTCCCAGCCTGAATGACTGAAGGGTTTGTGTTCAGAGAGGCCAGGGGACTGTCCAACTGGAACAGCCGTAGTTTCTAGCTGCTTGTCTCACCCTGGAAATAGCCACCCACCTAAGCTAAGAATAGGAACCCTTGCCGGGCTAGCAGGAAGGAATGCTGATCTTTTAAGGCGGAGCCAGAAGACAAAACATAGCACATGGGTTGGGCCTCTTCTCAGATTTATGTGTGAGGTCACTAGAAAGCCACGCCCTAACATTGGGCATTGATCCCGCCACAGACCCAGACAAGGTGAGGTGACCAGGTTGTTCATAGATGCCCAAGATGGCAGCCTCCAGGGAGAGGCCATGGGGCCTCAGCCTTGGGCGCCTCCTGCCCCCCAACAGAGGTGAGAGCTTCTCTATTGCTTTGTTGACTGAGGTGGTGTAGGTGGGTGCCAGTTGGAAATCCAAGAGGTGAGGGGATGAGAGGATCTTTACAGCAACCTCAGTCAGAACCGCTGTGCTCACTAGATTCTTTCTTTTCCAGGCAAGATCCTCTTCCGGAGAAGCCACATCAGGGACGTGGCGGTGAAGAGGCTGAAGCCCATCGATGAATACTGCAGGGTAAGGCTGGGGTCAGGGAAGGGTCTGGCCTCAGGCCTCGTCCACCTTGGAGGAAGATGTCTGTACAAAACCCACTTGTGGCCTAGTGTTTCCTGGCTGGGTGTGAGAGGTGTGGGTGACTGTCGTTTGGAAGGGATCACTCCTGAGGCTGGACCACTGTCTGCAGCAGTCGGCCTAGGAATCACAACTAGGGCTCTGCCCCTTTTGGAAGGCATCCATGTTTATAAAATACTTGGTCAAACCCCTTCTACCAGCTTAGGAGTTAAGTGCCGGAGGGACTGGAGCGTGGTATTTGCTGGCGGTAGGAGGATTATTTCTTTACTCTTCTTTTGAGTATGGCTTGAATCAGTTCTGAGCACAGTGACATCTGGAATACACATTTGTTTATTCGTACAAGTTTTAATAGATGTCAATATGTTCTCTGGTTGCTCTCTCTCTCTCTCTCTCTCTCTCTCTCTCTCTCTCTCTCTGTGTGTGTGTGTGTGTGTGTGTGTGTGTGCACAACATCTAAATAGCCAATGTCAAAGACCAGGCAGAACCAACATATGTCATAAAGCAGAGCCTGTTTGTCTTTCTGCTTATGTTTTTGTTTGTTTTGTTTGGGGGTCATGGTGCTAATTCTGAACTCAAGGCCTCAAATCCTGTCTTTTATACTGATTATAGTCTAGGACCTCCCGGAAGATACTCATTAGTGTTGTTGGTACCCAGACGTCCAGACAGATTGTGCTCAAAGCCCTGTCTAGCTGTATGAACTTAGTTCACATCCGTAACTAGTCTCTCCCATAGGAAAGAGGGCGGTCCCTCCATCGTGGAGGCAGAGTGACCTGGAGTGCATTAGGTGTGTGTGGAATGTGGTTCAGAGGAAGCGTTCAGCGGGCGTCTTCTGTTACTGTCACAGAGCACAGACACTTGTATCAAGTAAATAAGTAAAAGAAAATTAAATGTATTTAAAAGTGCACTAGAGAGACATCTCAGCAGTTAAGAGCCTCCATTGCTCTTGCAGAGGACCTGGGTTTGGTTCCAAGAGCCCACATGGCAGCTCACTACCTTCTGTACTTCCAGAAGTACAGAAGATCCAGCACCCTCTTCTGGTCGCCACAGACACTGCATGCATGTAGTACACACATATATATGTAGGCAAAACACCCAAACACATACAATAAATCCTTTCTTTAAAAAAAAAAGTATTAAAAACAAGTAAAGGGCTAGGAGTATCTTAGTAGATAAAGCACTTGCCTAGTATGTTTGATACCTAGTAGTAGTAAAAAATAATATATGCAGGGCAGTGGTGACACACACCTTTAATTCCAGCACTTGGGACACAGAGGCAGGTGGATCTCTGTGAGTTCCAGGCCAGCCTGGTCTACAAAGAGAGTTCCAGGACAGGACATCTAGGGCTACACAGAGAAAGCCTGTTTCAGAAAACAAACAAACATATAAATACATAAAAATATAAAGTACAAAAATAAACAATAAAAATAAACAAAAAGCATTAGATATTTTACTGTTATTCTTGATACCACTGACTTTAGTAGAAATAGAAATTCCTTTTTAATCTGGGCATGGAGGTGCATGCTTATAATCTTAGTAGACAGGCAGGGAAATAGTGAGTTGAAGACCAGACTGGAACACATAACAAGATCATGTCTCAAAACAACAACAACAACAACAAAAACAGTTAAAGAAACAGTGTAAATGGTAGAGTATGCCCCAAGCCCTGGGTCTGATGCCCAGAATCTCTAAGAAGTAAAAAACAAATAAACCGATAGCTCAGTGCTACCTGCTGTGGATGTGACTCGGGAATTCCAGGGGAGGAGCTGGCAAGTAGAGACACGTGCCACGGAGTGGGTAATTCAACACCACTGTGGTAGAAGGAGAGAACCAACTTCTGCATGTTGTTCTCCGACCTCCACACATGTGCCATGGTACATGTACAACACACAGAAAGGAGGGGAGGAAGAGAGAATATTGAAAGTATTTCAAATTTGTTTTTATTTCATTTTGTGTGATTGGAGTGTCTGTGCACCATGTGCATGCAGTGCCCATGGAGGCCAGAAGAGGGCGTTGAGTCCTCTGGAACAGATGTTTGTGAGCTGCCATGTAGGTGCTGGAAATTGAACAATCCCAAGGGGGACGTGGGGTGATGGCTCAGTGGGTACAAGCATGAGAACTTGAGTTTAGATCCCTAGCATCCATGCACAAAGCCAGATGTGGCTCCATGCACCTGTAACCGCAATACTGAGGAGAGCAGAGACCGAAAAATGCACGGGAGCCAGGCAGTAGTGATACAAGTCTTTCATCCCAGCCCTCCAGAGGCAGAGGCAGAGGATCTTTGTGAGTTCAAGGCCAGTCTGGTCTACAAAGTGAGTTCCAGGACAGCTGCCAGGGCTACACAAACCCTTTTTTGAAAAACTAACAGAAAAGAAAAGAAAAAGAAAGAAAGAAAATCCATGGGGCTGGCTGGCTAGGAAAAGAAAAATAGTGAGTTCTAGATTCAGTGAGAAACTCTGACTCAAGGGAGTAAGACAAAGAATGACAGAATAGTACGCCCACCTTGATGTCCTTCTCTCATCCCTGCACATGCACACGGAAGCACACATGTATGCACACATGCGCACACAATCCCAAGGAGGCTGGGCATGGTGACACCTATAATTCTCATGCTCAGGAGACAGAGGCAGGAAGATGGAATAAATATAATATGTATTTTTTTCAGGCCATCCTGAAAAAAAGAATTGTAGGGAGGGAAGGATGGCAGGTTTTATCCAAAACTTATGAGCGCGAGTCTAGTCTGAGAGCCTCACTAGCTCTGTGACCTTGCAAAAGGGGAATGAAAACCTCGGTCCCCTGACAGGGCTGGAGTGGGAATGTGCAGCCCTGTGGAGTGACTCACGAAATGCTGTCCCCATGCTGAGCTCCTCCTGGGCCCTTTCTGCCATGGTTTAAATGAGAAGTCTCCTCCCGCCCCATAGGCACATATATTTGAATACTTTGACCCTAGTAGGTGGAACTGTTTGGGAAGGGTTAGGAGGTGTGACCTTGTTGGAGGAGGTGTGTCATGGAGGGTGGGCTTTGAGGTTTCAGAAACCCACACCATTTTCAGATAGCTCTCTTTCTCTGCCTCACGGTGGTTTTCTCAGGTCTTGCTTCAGCACCATGCCTGTCTGCTGCCGTTCTCCCAGTCACAAAGGTCACGGACTCACCCTCTAGAACAGCGAACCTCAAATTAAATGCTTTCTTTAATAAATTTTCTTGGTCATAATGTCAAATTAAAAGTAAACAAGACACTTTATGTTCGAATATTTTATTAACAACTCATTCTTGGCAGCACAACTGTTTTAAGTCAGGCCTGGCATGGTGGCGCATGCCTGTAACTCAAGCACTTAGGAGGTGGAGACAGGAGACCCAAGAGTTTAAGGTCAGCCTCAACTGCATTGTGAGCTATGAGACCCTCTGTGTGATTGTAAATAACCAAGCTTTCCGATATTAAAATGACAACAGAGTCCTGAACTGCCGGTCCTTAGCTTCCGGGAAGACTCCCATTGAAGCCAGGTCTGAGTTTTGTCCAGATTGGCCTGGGTCACATGTTCTTCCTCATTGTAAACCATGAATGAATGGCCCTGAATTAGAGGTCACTCTTCTTCAAATCAATATCCTCTCTTCTCTTTAAAGGGCATTTACCATTCTAAACTGCTTAGTACAGTCAAGCTTTTTATTGCTTTAAGTTGAATAAATGAACAGGGCTGGGGAGGTGGAGTAGAGGGAGGAGGAAGCCTTCCAGCTGTGACTTATGGCTCAGATCAGCCTACTCTGAACTGTGGAGCCTGAGGCATCCGCAGCAGATTGTGGATCAGCCAGAGGAGGAAGCCCACAGCATCTTCCCCCCTGATGGGAGAAGCCCAGAGTTGGGCTGGCAGATAGATCAGGGTTTCCATCTGACACCTCTCAAGCAGGACTTTACAAATGTGGCTGGCCACGGCTGGCCTTTAATCCTGCTGAAGTAGAAAACTGAGGTATGCCCTGCATGGTGACATACGCCCTTAATCCTAGCACTCAGGAAGCAGAGTCAGGTGGCTCTCTGTGTTTGAGGCTAACGTTGTTTGCCTAGCAAATCCCAGAACAGCCAAAGCTACACCAAGAAACTCTGTCTCAAAAAACCAAAGCAAAAGCAAACAAACCTGCAAACAACAGAAGAAATCAAGCTTAGGTCTGAGAAGCCCTCTGATCTTTCCAAGGTAACTAAGATATACCACTGATACCAGTGCTCCCAACACCCTGTGTTTTCCACAGCTCTGCCGTCAGGCGGTACAACTGGTCACTACTCAGTGTCCCCACCAACAGTGACATCATGGCCAGAACCATGTGCATTTCCTTCCACACCTAGGCTTTGTCTACGGCTGCCCTTTGATTTCTTCGCCATTTGATGCAGGGCCTCACTGTGTGGCCATGTCTGTCTCAAACTCCCAAGCAACCTCCTGCCTCAGTGTCATGTGACACTGTCCTTTGTGAGATTTGAACAAATTCCACTCACCCCAGAAAGGGAACTGATAACAAACCAAAATATGGATAGCACCCATGTCCAAGTTTGTGGACCAATGAATTTTAGTGGGGCTGCTTGCAGGAACATGAGTGAGGGGTCGCTTACAGGAGCAGAAATGACTTAAGACATCACCAAAGCCCATCCCAGCATGGTGACTGTTCACAAAAGCTAGAAGTTCTGAGCCTCTTTCAGGCAGCTTGGCTGGTCCACTCTTCTTCCAGGAAGCGCCGTCCTTACAACTTATATGATTAGGGAAGGGAGGAGCCTAGTGGAGCTGATCAGTTGCAGGGACTTCCTGAAGTCTTAGAGTTGTTTGCTTCCTGTGTTCAAAGCTCCACACAAGATGGAGTGTTTCACCTCCTCTTAGTGCAGGGGTTCTCAGCCTTCCTAACGCCATGACCCTTTAACACAGTTCCTCATGTTGTGGTGACCCCCAACCATAAAATTACTTTTGTTGCTACTTCATAACTGCAATCTTGCTGCAGAGGGTGTCTTGGCTGCCCAAGGGCAGAAATTCCCAACTCCCCTCTCCCTCTGCACACCCTCCACTGACTCCCTCCTGCCTGGACACAAAGGTGTGAGACCCATTGTCTTGGCCAGTGCCTGAGGTCAACCCTCTGAGCTCACCTGGGTCATACCTTATAGAAAGACTGCCCCAGCCACCACAGGTCAGACAGATGATGTCACTAATGACATGACACAGTGGCACAGGCAGTGTCGCTTTGGGTGCTGAGGGTTGTAAGGTAAATCCTCTGTTGTGAGGGCAAGGATCTGGGCCTGCCTGTGGGCTGCAGAGGGTGAACATTGCCTTGTTAGGCTAGGAGCTCAATACACTCTGGGTAGGACGAGATTCCTTCAGGCCTGGGGAGGAATGACCAGCCCTGTCGATCAGAAACCTGAACTCAGTGCTCATTGGGTTTTTGTTTGTTTGTCTTGTTTTTTTTTTTGCCTGATTAACTGCTTGTTTAATTTGCTAATTGTTTACATGGTGTATTAATTACTTTCCCATTGCTGTGATAAAACACCATGACCAAGGCAGCTATAGAAGGAAGGGTTTACTGGGGACCTCCAGTTCCAGAGGGATAAGAGTCCATCGTGGCCATGAGCAGGAGCCGTGGTGGCTGGAGTAGCAAGCTGTGCGCTCACATCCTTAACCACAGGCAGGAAGCGAGAGCAAACTGATAATGTCCCCAGGCTTTGAAGGCTCAAAACTGGCTCCCAGTGATGCCCTTCCTCCAGCAAGGCCATACCTCCTAAGCCTCCTCAAACCATACCACTGACTGGGGACCGAGTAGTCAAACGCCAAAACCCATGGGGACATTGTCATTCAAACCACCACACATGGTTACTAAATTATCGGCTGGATGATTGGTTAGTTAACTGATTGTCATCAGATTAGGTTTGTTATTGTTTGGTCTTTGTGTGTGTGTGTGTAATGTGCATTTGTGTGTATATGTATGTGTGTACATGTTTGTGTGTGTAAATGGGGGCTCATGCATGTCACAGTATGTGTGTAGAGGTCAGGTAATTTCAGGTGTCAATCCTTGCCTTACACTCTCTTCTGTGGCATGCACCAGGCTATCTGATCCATAAGCTTTTGGGGACTCTCTTGTCTCAACATAGGCGTACTAGGATTGCAGAATCCAGCTTGATGGGGATTCTGGGGATTTGAACTCAGGTCCTCACACCCGCCTGGCATAATGGGATTTAAGTCTCATTATGTAACCCTGGCAGGCCTCAGACTTCCAGAGATCCTCCTGCCTCTGCTTCCTAAATGTTGGATTAGAGACACGCACCATCACACCTTGACATCAGTTGATTGTTGGTGGTTTTGATCATTGGTTTTTGGTCTGTTGTTGTTTTTGTTTTGTTTTATTTTGTTTGTTTGTTTTTGAGACAATGTTTTTCTGTGTAGTCCTGGCTGTCCTGGAACTAGCTTTGTAGACCAGGCTGGCCTCGAACTCACAGAGATTCTCCTGCCTCTGCCTCCTGAGGGCTGGGACTAAAGGTGTGTACCACCACCACTCCCCACTAGTGTTTGTTTTTTGTTTTGTTTGACAAAGTCTCATTACTCTAGGTTGACCTGAAAAGTACACAGCCAAGGGTAACCTTGAAGTTCTCTTCCTCCTGCCTCTACCTCCCAAAGGTTGAAATTACAGGCGGACGCCAGTTTATAAAAAGCTGAGGATAGAACCCAGGACTACTTACCCACTAGTCCCCATTCTCCTGAGTCTTCCCTAACCCTAGATCAGGAGTTCTCAACCTCTGGGTCACGACCCTTTTTGCATACCTCTTTCTCCAAAAATATTTACATTATAATTCATAAGTAAGAAAGTTATAGTTATGAAGTAGCAATGAAAATAATTTTAGTGTTGAGGGTCACCACGCGTGAGGAACTGTATTGCAGGGTGGCGCCATTAGGAAGGTTGAGAACCACTGCTCTACATATTCATATCTTAGTTGTTGTTGGCTTTTGTTTTCCTGTTGGATGAATAGGTTGATGGATTCTTTTATTTCAGTTCTAATGACCTCTGTCCTCGTCTCTCACAGGCACTTGTCCGCCTGCCTCCCCACATCTCACAGTGCGATGAGGTCTTTCGGTTCTTTGAGGCACGGCCTGAGGATGTCAACCCCCCCAAAGAGTGAGTAGTGACTGTCATGCTTCTGCATGATTGGGAAGTGTGGGCCAAGCCGGGCCAATGGGGAGGCTGAGGATGTGGGACCCTAGTAGAGGGAGAACTACTACTGCTACCGAAGAAGGTTTCACCCAAGAAGCAGAGACTGTCACTCCAGCCCTCCTGATGCAGAGGGTTGCTGTGGGTGAGCTCCCTACGGCGGTCCACCTGTCTTCGCAGGCGTACATGTGAGCTCAGTTTATCTAACTTTCAAAGTCAGGGAACTTATTGTCCTTATTTTTTTTTTTTTTTTGCTGCAGTGAACATTTTTGCATACGCCACACACAAAATGCACACATACATTTTTATGAGGCAGACAGGATCTTTTGTGAGTTCAAGGTTAACCAGGCCCGCGTAGTGAGATCCTGTCTGAAAGGGGGGAGGGGCTCTACCCAGGTGATAGAGACTCCCCTGCATATCATGCATGGGGAAGCAGACTACAACAGCACCCCCAGGTTTCAAATGAGCCCACACTGTCTACCTCTCCAGGTGGCCTCCCTTCTGGGGTCTCTGTGATCCTGGATCTTCTGTCTTCTGGGTCCTCCCCACCCTGTTCTTCTTCACTTTCTAGGATGACCGTGGCCCTGGGTCCCAACCTGCTATTGCTTGTTCCCAGGTGGTGGCCTTTCTCCCCCACGCTGCCCCCCATAATGATAGGGAGAGCATTGCTCTGGGATGATGTAACATCCCGATCAGGGAAAGAGGGGGGTGTTAATGGTTGGAATCAGTGAACCCCACCTTTATCCCAGCCCCTGCTTCTTGCCAGTCTGCTAAATAAGTGGGCCCCATTTCACGCATCATTCCGTGAGCTGATGCCGTACAATAGACCAGCCTTGGGCCCACCTCCAGTGCTCCCTCCCAGGAGGGGCAGCTCCCACACAGCAGTCTTGGTAATGAGTAATGACTGTTCTGGGTCACACTCCGGAGTCAGGCATTGTCGCCTGAGGCGCTTTGATCATTTGTGCAGCTTCTAGAATTCTGTTTTCTGGTCTCTAGCAATCTAATGCTGAGTACATGGTGGTGGGGAAAGGGACCCCCCTGAGATAACCCAGTCAGTGCCACTAGCATGCAGTAAATGCTCCCCCTATGGCTGCAAAAGCCTGGGGACCGCATGGACTGTGAGTCGAGTCGTGTTCTGCCTCGCAGAGCACAGCACGGCAGGAACGGTGAAAAGCTCGAGGCCTTCTATGTCACCATGGAGACAGGACCTAGCTGCCTCCGCCTCGAAACAGTACGGGATTGACCTGTAGCTCAAGAAGTAGGCAGATGAGAGTTCAGAGGGGTCGCCCAGCCCTGATCCATCTCCACACTGCCTTTGGACCCCTCCTCCCTCCCCAAGAGAGACTGTGTCCCATTTAGGCCTTGTGAAAGAACCCAGGCCTTTACATGACCCTGGGCCGACTGCCTGATGATTTGTTAGCCGAGTGCCTCCCCTCCCTGAGAGCTGCTTACCTTTCTGGGCCACTGTTCATGCACCCCCCCCCCCAAACATAAATACGGGTCAGGTAACAGAATATTTTGACTGTGGCGACTCTGAAGAGAGTTATCAAATTATCAAAGCCTATGCATCGTGTTGGAATTTTGCAGACAACCTGGTTTCTCTGACCCCTCACGAGCACGCTGCTGTGGGAGGCTCTTCTGTTTTATGGGGTCTGGCGGTCTTTGCCATTCCATAGGGAAGACAAGGTTTGGACAGGCGGGGAGGCAGTAGCTTTAGGCTTTGATCCCCTCACTGGCCACTTTGGTGGCTGGCTGCTGCTCTTTAAGACCAGTGGTCTGGCACAAAAAGTTCTGTCCTCGAGACCCCTTTGATGGGCCTGGCACAGAGCAGGCCTGGTGTGGCATCGTCTGCAGCCACCCCAGGACGGTGGCTCTGGGGCTGTGGTTCCCCGTCTGACTGTGAGCACGCTGGCCTGTGCACATCTCTGCACGACAGGGAACAGAGTGCTCTTTTAGAAGCCCCTCTCTTACACCTCGACTCCAGGTCTTCTTTGTACTGTCTTTGCGTCAAGTCTCCAGCTACCCCTCAGCAAATCCTGTCTCCGCGTTTGGTCCGAGTCTAGCCATCTTCGTGACTGCCCTGGGGCCAGCCCGTTACCATCTGTTCTGTGGATCCTCGGCCTCCTGTTTGGTCTCTCAAGTCTCCTCAGCTCCCTGTGATTAGATCATGTGACCTCCCCCCTACCCCCCATGTTCAGACTTTCTGTCACTTAGAGCCCAAGCTCTCACCCTCTGGTCGAGCCTATTCCGTGTTGCCGTCCAGCTCCGGTCATTCGGCCCTGTATTCTCCTCTCAGACCTGCTGGCCATGCACACTTTGGTCCTTTGTGGGGCGTTCAGCTCCTGACAGAACCAGCCCCTTGTACCACCTCCTTTTCCTTGAGAACAGCCTTGCCTTCCTTCTCTGACTCCCAGCACCTGCTCACCCCGACTGCTCCCCGACTTTTTAGCAGACTGCAAGCGCCCCGGCCCGCATGTACTGGAGGCTGTATCACAGCAGTATTAGGTGGTCCGTATGATGTGGGGCCTTGGACTGGCAAGTCGGTTCAGTAGACAAAGATGGGCCTACTTCCTGCTTCATAGGCAGCCATTTTGATTCCATATCAAGCTCTCTCTGGGCTCTCCCTCTCTCTTTTCTTGTTTTATTTATTTTTATTTTATGTGCATTGTTTTGTTTTGCCTGCGTATTTGTCTGTGTGAAGATGTCAGATCCCAGGGGATCTGGAGTTTTAGATGGTTCTGAGCTGCCATATGGGTGCTGGGCATTGAACCGGAGTCCTCTGGAAGAACGGCCACTGCTCACACGGAACCGTGTCTCCAGCCCCCTCTCTGGACTCTTACTAGACACTGATCCCACCCATATAGGTTCCTCACTTCCTAAGGCCTTGCCACCTAGTGCTGTCATAGTGAATTTGACTAATGTTCCACCTGTAGCTATGTGTTCTTGGAACGCTAGCATATAAAAAGAGTGTGTGTATGTGTGCGCGTGTGTGTGTGTATGTGTACATGTGCACATGTGTGCATGTTCTTGTGTGAGCCTCCTGATGAGAAATGAGAGCAGCAGAAAGAGTGCCCATCGTACTGACCTCGCCCTGCGTACTGACCCCGCCCTGCGTACTGACCCCGCCCTGCGTACTGACCCCGCCCTGCGTACCCCACACAATATTACGTCATTTCCATCTTGGGCCACCTGAGGAAGAGTCTTTCATTCTGGCTAGCAAATGGTGAACCCAAAGCTCTACACAGCCAGGAAGCAGGGAGGCACATCTTAAAACGCATGTATGTCCTTAGATGCCTGAGAGCAGGCCCCCCCCCCCGCCCGGGCCAGGCCCCCTGCCTTGTAGTCACAAGGGGTTAGTGGGCAAGCGAGGCTCATGATGGGGCTTCCTAGTCTGTCACACGTGGGTTGAGAAGAGAGATGTAAAGAGCCATCCTTGGCACTAGGGATGTAGCCCGGTGGTTGTCAAGCAGGTGTAAAGCCGTGGGTTTGCTCCCACTAATATTATACCAACTGTACAGACATCCTACATGACACCTTGTCTTCAGAAGAAGAATAAAAAAGGATGGATCAGCAAGGTGTCTTGGTGGGTAAGATCCTGGTGACCTGAGTTTAATCCGGGGACCCATACGGTAGAAGGAGAGATCTGATTCCTGTAAACGTCTCCTGACCGTCACATATGCCATGGTACGTTCCTGCACACACAAATAATTAAGATTCTAAAATTAAAAATCTAAAAGCCACACTTAAAACTAGACAGAATTCAGTTTAGACACACTCTGGGAAGGCTGAATTTGTTCTAACAACCAAGATGAACCTGGACAAATGTGGGGTGTCCCATCCCAACCCCCACAGACACACCCCACTTGTCCAGGGCCCCTCTTGTTGACTCAGCACCCCTTGTTAGCTTGGCCTCTGCGGGGACCCCTTCAGGCAGTGAGCTCTGGGCTCAGGCCTCTCCAATCATTCATTCCTCACGCTGGCCCAGCCTGCCAGGGCTCCGATGAAATTCTTGAAATTTCATGGGACAGGCAGAGCCCTGCTAAACTAGTTTTTGTTCTTCAGCCTCAGGGCCACAGAGCTCTCTGTTGAGGCCCCGAACAATGTCCCAGTGTTCACAGAGATTCGAGGTGGGAGGCGGTGGGGCCTAGGCAGATGAGAATCATCTTGCCCCCGCCGGCCTCGGGGTTTAAATGTTGCTGGAAAGTCCCTATCCCAACCCACCTTGCTCTCCGTGAAGCCAAGTCCACCTCCAGCACCCTGCCGCCATCACCAGTTATGGCACCCTAGCATCCCTATGGTGGCTGTGCCCTTGGGACACAAGATCAGGCACATAGGGGGGTAGTCTTGGGCTGAAGTCCAGTTGACCAGAGCACTGGATGTGGGGACAGGGATAGGCTGTCTCAGGGGACAAGCCGGCATACAGGGATGAGGCTTTCCAGGGAAGGGGGTACAGAGCAGGTAGGGGGTATAGAGCAGGTGGGGGGGTACAGAACAGGCAGGTTGGGTAAGGATGAGGTTGGATGCGGAGAGACTCACTGCAGACAGGTCCAGCCTCCTCCCATTTCCTTCTTGGTGATTCTGGATTGCCCAGGACCAGGAGGAGATGGTCAGTCACTACATTTCCCTGTGGAAAAGGCGGTGGTCTAAGTCAGAAGAAACTATTAGCCTTGTCTCAGCCCTAGTAGGGAGACAGAGTAAGGCCATCTTGGCAGCACAGCCAGGTTCCTGAGAGTTTGGGGCGACTGCTTTTGGAGTCCTCACATCCTTGAGCCCATTGGAACTCCAGGCCTACTGTTAAGACATTGAGTAACCTGTGACATCTTAGTGTCCAGGCTGCATTGTGACTGGCAGCAGGACCTTGGCAGTGGCTTCACGACATGGCCTTCCTTTTCCTGTAAGTGTCGCAGACATAGCAGGGGCTGGGTAGAGCGACTGAGGGTGAACGTGGAGCATGTCCCAGCTGCTTGCCTCTCCTCTTTCCTACCTCCCCCAGGAGGAGGAGCCACGAGAGTCTCTCCCGCAGACTCCCTTTACTCCTGGGTATTTATTGAGCATCTACTGTATGCCAGGAGCTGCATGGGCCAATATACTCAAGCCTACCCGTATGTTGGAATCTTGCCTTACGTTAATTATAGAGATAGAATCGGACGGCCAGCTCTGCTGTGACCTTCAGTGGACTGCTTCTGGCTTGGGAACTGAGGGTAGAGAGGCAGTCCTGCCCTAGGCACTGTCCTGGTTTAGACCCTCAGCTAGGCAGCTCTGCTCACCTGGCATCATTATTCAGCCGGGGCCATGGGCCACACGTTCTTCCAGCCCCCATCCGCTCCCACTGGCTGATGCACAGAAAGCCTGTTCATCGAAGTAGACAAGAGAGCCAGCTGGACCTAGGAACTGTGGGTCCAAGAGAGGCATCTCCAGCTGGACAGGTGAGGGCCCCTAGCATCTCCAGCTAAATAGGTGAGCCCCGCCCCCAGGTATCTCCATTTAGACAAGTGATGTGGTCGCCCACCCCCAGGCTTCTCCAGCTATAGATGAGTCCCCCCCGCCCCCAGCATCTCTAGCTGAACTAGTGAGCTTCCCCCCCTCCAATAGGTATCCCCAGCTGGATAAGTGAGCCCCCACTCAGGCATCTCCAGATGGACAGGTGAGCTCCCCGCCCCAGGCATCTCCAGATGGACAGGTGAGCTCCCCCTTCCAGGCATCTCCAGAGGGACAGGTGAGCTCCCTGCCCCAGGCATCTCCAGATGGACAGGTGAGCCCCACCCCCAGGCATATCTACCTGGACAGGTGAGCCCCTCTCCCTTCAGAACTCAAAGCTTCATTCTTACCATTGCTGGCTGCTCTGGATGTAACTCCCCGATGGTGTCAGAATTGAATGTAAACCTGGGTCTTAGTTTCCCTGTGGCAGGCCTTCTCTGCTGACACCAGGCAGGAGGCTCTCTGACCATTTACAGTGGAGGTCCAGGGGCCGGAGCCAAGGAGAGAGCGTTCAAGCTGAGGCTGTGGTAGAGCAAGCTACTCAAGTCAGGTAGCAGGTGGGGGCACCCCGGCCAAAGGGAGTCGCAACAAACCTCAGGGCAGAGTCTGTCTCTGAAGGAGCCTTGGGAAGAAGCACTCTGAGAGGAAGTGGGTGCGAGGCGGTGGCTAGCTACATAGACAGGCTATCTACATAGCTTCTGTCAGGATGGGGACAGAATCTGGGATCTCTGGGTTCCCCTTGCGGTCCGGTCAAAACTAGGTGGCTATTTCTGTGGTCCAGGTGTGAAACAGCTCAGGTCCAACGGCTGTAAGAACGGGGTAACTAATAGGCACAACCCCGGAGCCAGGGACAAGCTCTGTGAAAACCCCACGATCCTTGCCCCTTGCAGTCTGTAAGCTGCTTGAGCATCAGCCTATCTTTGGGTGCTTGGAATCAGCGCCTGACTTCAGATCTGTGTGTATCTTTCGTCACCTGGTGGTAACATGGAGTATTACAGTCTCCTGCAATGGTCCTATTTAACTATTGTATTCTCCTGTGACGCTGGTGATCCCTTCTTCAGATGAGGCAACTCGCTGTACTCCCCATCGCAAAGGCGCGCGTCGATAGAGACCCCAAGGGTGCTTCTGGAGACCTTACCTCTGTCCTCCAGAGCCCCTGGGTCTTACTCTAAGATGAATCTCTAAGGATGGGCGCCACCTGGTGGGTACAGGATGATCTGCACTATCAAACTTAGGGGGCCTGTTCCTAGAAGCAGCCAGAAAAATCTAGTCCTTCCCCCACCATCCATAATCACCATAACCGATCCCGTCCTGCTCCCTAGCAGGTGGCCAGCTCACTTGTCACTGAGAGTAGTGACAAGGAGGGTACAGGTGACTTCAGGGTCTACGCAGCCTAGACTTTTCATGGACAGGCTGGTGTTAGCCTGAAGAGCCTAGCTCAGTGGGGAAGAGCGAAGGGCAGCGGCTCTCCCAGATGACCTTAATAACGTGTAATTTACATGTTATAAAATTCATTTGTTTTTTTTATGGTGTGGAACCCAGGACCTTGCGTGTGCTCGGCGAGTGTTCTGCCACTCAGCTACACCCAGCCTTTCAGATTGCTTTATTAGTGCACAGCTGATTAGATGATTAGGGGCACGGTTTCGGTTGTGCAAACATCACTGCAATCCAGTTTTGGAGCATTTTTACCACTCTTTTTGAAAATTGTATTATTCTTATTTTACGGGTATTTTGCATGTGTGCCATGAGGTCCAGACCTAGGGACTCCCAGGAACTTACCATGCATACTCCTTGAGACAAAGTCATCCCAGAGATGGGTGTCTTGGCTTGTCATCCGTCACAGCCAGTTCTTGCAGTTCATTGGGAGATGACGCCAGTGGGGAGGGAAGGAGAGAGAGAGAGACAGCCAGTGTTAATAGTAACAACCCTGCAGGAAGCAGTAGCTCCAGCTGCAGGCTGGCCCGCCCAACTACAGGGGTGCACAGCCCCCCTCCAGCCCGCAGATAGCCCACTGCACGAAGGGTAACTCTCGGAGCCCCACCGGTGGCCTCTTCCTAGGGGGCCTCCCTCCCAGCTCACCCTACTGTCCTCTTTGCTCAGCCCTCTCCCTGATTTACCGCCCACTCCTCTCTTCCCTTCTTTGTCATGGCCACCCCCCCCACACACCATGGCATCTTCCTCCCAGCTGTCACCCCCAGGTCCTCCACTCCCCAGAGGCAAGGAACAAGTGTGTCCCTTGAGCCTGGCTCGCCAGGCACTCAGCAGACACTGTAGGCCAAATAACAGTATTGATTGGAGCAGCTAGTTGTTAGTGCTACCAAGAAGGCTGACCCCTACCTAGTGGAGACTGTCTCAAGGCTTGAGGTCAGTGCTGCCTGGAAGAGGCCAGGATGCCCAGAAGAGCTGGACTGTTGGTGCCCCAGGTACAGTGACTGGGCATGAAGAGGTCTAGCAGATCCAAAGATGCCCAGTCCAGGAGTGCAGGAACCTTGAAGAACCCACTGGACCCACACACAGGGACGGCTGGGTAGGGAGCAGCCTCTTGATGGGCCTGTACAAAATGGGGTGGAGCACCCCCACCACGCAGGCTTGTCCTGAGCCAAGCATAGTCAAGGACTTGGACATGGTTTGGAAGCTCCATGGTGGGGGCGCTTGACAAATACAAGGTTCTTTCCAACGATGGGATTGGTAATGGTGACGCTAGTGATGGCTTATTCACCTGTCTCCCCACCTTTGGGAAAAGTGTTTACTGGGGATGGGGTGGGCGGCTCGTAGTGACTGCCACCATTCCTGCCCCCATCTGGGCAGAGCCAGAGGGAGTCAAGTCTGTATAAGACCTAGAGCTAAGGGAACCCAGTCTAATCCTGGAAACTGAGGCATGGAAAAGGCTGGTGTTGCCTGTTCAGGCAAAGCCAGACCTGAAACCTAGGTCTTGTGACCCCAGTGCTGGACTGGCCGTTGGGATCCGTCCAGCAAGCCTTTTCCACTTGGGCACGCTCAGAAATGTAACACACACAGTTGTTGGTCACTGGGAAGCCCTTAAGCTGCCCTGGGGAGGCTCTTCCCCAAGTTTCCTCAGCAACACAGGCCCTTGGCCGTGAGCCCCTGGCCTGCAGTCTGAGCCCACTGTGTGGAATGTGGCGGCCGCTTGCCCCTTTGTGGGGCTGTCTCATTAAGTCCTCCTCTTGGCCTGCCACAGTGAAGACATCTATCTAGACTTGGCAGTCATTCCTGTTGCCTGGGATCCAGGAGCCCCCAAGAGACCTGCCAGCATCACGGCAGAGGAGTTTCTGGGGATATATATGACAGCAGTAGGAGCAGCCACATCCCAAGCGTCTTGGGGCCCAGCTCTGCGACCCGGCAGTCCTGTGGTCCTGGCAAAGTGGCTTTACCACAGAGCCTGAATCTCTTGCTGTCTATGAAGACAGTCAGCCCATCGCTTCAGCCCAGCTACTTTCCCCACACCCCTCCCAGGCTTGTCCTTTCTAGCAGCCCCAACCTCCTCATCTCCTCCCAGTGCCCACCTTTGGCCGCCTGTTCCAGATGCTGCTAACAGCTTGCCTATAGATCCTGGCTCCGCTGAAAAAGCCTCCATCCAAGAAACCACTGGGCCAATGCAGAATGGCCAGCAGGGGAGATGGAGGGGAAGGAGGATTGAGCTGAACTGAGCCTAGACGCTAACTCAGTTCTTTCTTATGCTCATTCGGTTGCTGTTTCTCCCTCCAGGGAGGTGTGACCTCTGAGTCTCATCACTTTGGAAGCAGTGACATTCAGAGCTGTGTGTGACAGGTTTTGTCCCCTGGGGAGACCGAACACATTCACTCCAGATAGGGAGCCCATGACAGACCAAAGTATGGATACCACCATAGTCCAACTTGGAGAACCAGTGAGTTTTATTGGGGTTACTTATGAGGAGTACGGGTGAAAGGTGGCTGACAGGAGGAGAAATGTGTCACCAAAGCCCACCCAGCATGGGGGACAGCTCACAAAGCTGGGCACACAGAGCACACTGCACAGCCTGTGGGAAGCTTAGCGGTTGGGGAGCGTCCCTTCACGTGGCTCCAGGCTGCTTGCCCAATCTGTTTCTTGGCTTGCTGGAGAGGGGCTCTCTTTACTGTTTACTGGGGAGGGGAGGAACCCAGTGAGTCTGGCCGGTTTCAGGAACTTCCTGAAGCTCTTTGAGTTCCGTGCTTTCTGTCTCAAGGAGTCTCTGCAAGAAACCTTCTCCACCTTAACTGCAGGAAAGAGCTGGGCGCAGTAAAGAAGTCTCTCTGGTCCTCCTTTCAGTTAGAGTCCCAGATGAAGTTAAAATTCTTAAAATTCTCCAGGCTTCCTTTTTCTGTTTTGACATTGTGAATTGAACTAGAGTAAGCACCCTCTGTACCATGTGTGCGTGCATGTGTGTGTGTGTGTGTGTGTGTGCATGCATGTATGAGATTGATTCTGTAACCTGGGCTAGCCTTCAACTTGCAGGGATTCTCTTGTCTAAGCTTCTTAGGAGCTCTGATTAGGGGTGCGTGCCACCGTGCCTAGCTCTTGTCTCATTTTCTGAGGTAGTCACATGTGGGAATCCTTAGTGTCCCGCATAGCTCATGGTCACTGGGTAGTGCCAGTAGTGCCAACAACCAGAGATCCTTGACAGGCCCGTCCATGGCGGTGGGACTGTATGTCTGTCTCATGCACCACACAGACCAGACATCTGTAGCCTTGGCCAGGGAGAGAGAGGCAAGGCATCCTCCACCTCCTACTCTGTCACCTAAACAGAGAAACCAGGCTGAGTTGAAACCCTGGCATGCTGTCCACCTCCCTTCCTGCCTCTCCCCTGCCGCTGCAGTCATGCACCATCCGACCCCAAGTCTCCTCCCATTTCCTAGACAGCCCCCAAGTGCCTGCCTCTAAGCAGCCCTCCCGACCTCTTACCTCCCTGCCCTGGGAGTTCCCATACAGTAAACTCTCTACACAGCTCTATGGTATCCAATCACAAATGGAGTTCTTCGTTTTCTTTCCTTGGATGTTTGCCTTCACTTGGTAACTAGATGGTGTGCACTTTAAGGCAGGACAGTGTTTCTCCGGCCACACTCCTGCTTCAGGCACGGGAAGCAGCCTGTAACAACTCCTCAGTTAAGATGGAGGCGAAGAGTGGATGCTGGACAGATAATTGTGGTACATGAAGGATGGAAGATGGGTGAGGGTTGGTAGATGGACACGGAGGGGTGATTGGGCGATAATTCTTAGGACAAGGTGTGGGAGGAAGAACCACAAAGCTGAGTTCCAAGGAAAAGGATGTGGGGCAGGCCCATCGCCGTGGAGCCCATCGCCGTGGAGCCCATCGCCGTGGAGCCCATCGCCATGGAGCCCATTGCTGTGGAGCCCATCGCGTGGAGCCCATCGCCGTAGAGCCCATCGCCGTAGAGCCCATCGCGTGGAGCCCATCGCGTGGAGCCCATCGCGTGGAGCCCATCGCCGTAGAGCCCATCGCTGTGGAGCGGCAGAAGTTCCCCCTGGGGGTCCCTGACATCTTGTTGCCGACTTTGCCGACTACCTCTTAGCCATAGGTGATTCATGGATTTCTGAAAAATGGAGAAAAGTCAGCATTTATATAGTGATGGGGCTCAACTATGAAGTCCACAGAGAATGTCAAAGAGGCCCTTCCGTGTTTGGAGGCTTGTTCTGTTCATTGTTCTGTGCCCGCATCCATCCATTCATCCATCCATCCATCCATCCATCCATCCATCCGTCTTCTGTCCCCCTCCCCGTCCACAGATTGCTTGTCAGTATCCCCGCTGGGTGGGACTCCTTGGAAGGTACAAAGGGAGAATCAAGGTCTGTTTGTGCTCATGATCCTAAGTTGGCGTCGTGTGTGATGGGACCATGGTCTTACAGCTCCGTTCCCCAGGGAGGGCCACCATCCCCTCTGCAGATCTAACCCCACTTGTGAGCCTGCACTTCCAGGTGGAATCCTTTCCGTGTTCCAGTCTTTTCCACCGTAACCTAATGCTGTACCAAGAGCTTTGCATGTTGTCTTACTTGTCTCCCACAAGTTTGCAAAGCAAGAATTGTTTTAGCTCCTTTATAACTGAAGGTTCAGGAAGCTCCACAGTGTCAGGCATTGTAGCTGGAGCAGACTTTGAACCCATCCACTATCTCCTCTCACTAGTGCTCTGAGGCCCAGACATTGTAGAGTCATCCCTGAGCTTCCGACACACCCAAAGCCTGTGTCCACCATGGTGGGACAAGCATTGACTTTTCTCTGTGGAAAGAGCAGCAGAGACTCTTTGGGATGCTAAGGAGACAAAGCAAAATCTCTCTCTCTCTCTCTCTCTCTCTCTCTCTCTCTCTCTCTCTCTCTGTGTGTGTGTGTGTGTGTGTGTGTGTGTGTGTGTGTGTGTGGAGGGGTGTCTTCTGAGGTCTATGATGGTCATAACGTCCAGCCCCTCTATGACACAGGCTGAAGGACCCAAGACCCCTTTCTTCCCCCAAGGAATTCAGCTTTTCACCCAGAGCAGGAATCTGGCCTCTCTGGGCAATCGACATGGTCACAATGGGGCCCATTCTCAGAACCCTGGAAGACACAGGCCCTGCAGAGAAAGGCCAGATTCTTGTTGGACACAAGAGCCTTCAGTGCAGCAATTTAGATCGGGGCACAAATGGGGGCATAGAATGACATCCATGCTCCCTCTGCATTGCCTGGAGGTCTCTGCCTCTTGAGACCATGCTGTGCAAAGGCTTTCAAAGGCCAGAACAGAAACCCAGCTCCGGGCTATGGGGGGCAGAAAGCTCCCAGAGCTTGCAGACCTCAGCTGACCCAGGGCCCCCTTTGCTCAGACACTGACTTGGCTTCTAGAAGAGCACGTTCCTTCTCTCTAATGGAGACTCACAGCAGCACTGTCTGCTCCTCCTAGAAGTGGAGAAGTGGAAGCCCGGAGAATTTGTCGCTGTTTTTTAAAATGCCCCTGCTGATTAAGAAATACATCTTGGCTGGGCAGTGGTGGCACACACTTTTAATCCCAGCACTCAGAAGGCAGAGGCAGACAGATCTCTGTGAGTTCAAGGACAACCAGGACTACACGAGAAACCCTGTCTTGAAAAACAAAACAAAGAAGGAGGAGGAGAAGGAAGAGGAGAAACATCTCACATCACAACCCAACACAGACAGACAGACAGACAGACAGACAGATAGATTACTGGAACGGACATTTCACAAAACACTCTTAACCGTAAACGACTCTAATGGGTTCTAGCCAATTCTACCCTTTAGAAGCGCTTGTTGATCTGCTGCAGCAAGTTCAGGGCTCACTAACAGACAGAGGCTTGTCATTTGAACAGCAGTTGATTGGCTGGGAATGATAGGGTACTGTGATGGTAGGGTGCTGGGACAGTAGGGTGCTGGGACGGTAGGGTGTTGGGATGGTAGGGTGCTGGGACGGTAGGGTGTTGGAATGGTAGGGTGCTGGGACGGTAGGGTGCTGGGATGGTAGGGTGCCCCTATAATCTCAGCTTCTTAAAAGCACAGACAGGAGGATCAGGACTTAAAAGTCATTCTCAGCTACATAGTGAGTTTAAGGCCAGCCTGGTCTACATGAGACTGCCTCTCCCAAACACCCAACATTCTTTAATTAATTAAAAAAGTTTTTTGATCCCTTTTCTCCTGCCCCTGTATTCCAAGTAGCAGATACAGGTGTGCCCTACAACACTCAGCTGAAGAAGAAACGTTTAGAGTGGCTGGCCCAGGGCCACCAGGCTTGATGGCACAGCAGAGCCCAGAACTAGGTTAGGTGAGCTGGTGCCACAGTTGTCACAGCCTCTGTCTCCTACCTTTCCTGTCCCAAAACTTTCCCTCCAGCTGAATTCAGAACACGTCCCCTTTGCGGCTGATCCCTCCTGGATTTCACAGAAAGACTCTCAAAGTCCATCCATCCATCCTTCACCACCATACCTCTGCCCACATGATCAGTCTTACCTCTGTGGGAAGTTGCTTGTCCCTGCTTCTAGAGCCTTCCCCTCTTGTTCCTGTCCTGTCCTTGGATTAAAAGGGCCTTGTCCCTGAGGGTGCCCTCCTTCAGTCCCAGGATCTCTGTCACACTTGGAGTTCACCACCCCTTTTACTCTTGGGGTCAGTTGTCTGGAAATGTTAGCTCCCACAATGAATTGCGTAGCATTGGTACCCTGCATCGCAGACCTGTGAACCGGCTTCTCTTGTGCCTGCCTGTAAGGCCCCAAGGCCGCACAGCAGCAGCTTCCAAAGCCTATGGGATGATAAGTGGTCGAGATCATCAGTCTCTCCTGGCCCAGACTGAGCCCTCCGTCAAGGTTACATACAATGCATTCTTCCCCAGTTCACGTATTCTAAGGAGTGCCTGTGTCCAAGCTCTCAAAGTCACCCCAAGTCAGCCATCTGGCACCAAGTCTGCTTCTTCCGAGCAAGTCTTAGCAGAAGTAGCAGACCTGCAGACGGGCACCCCAGGCCATGCAGCCAAAGTCAGCCAGCAGACAGCAGGGTGAGGACATTGGAATGGAAGTGCAGGCCTGTGCTCCCGCGCCAAGGCTCTCGCTGATGGGAGGGAGGGAAGGAGGAAAGGAGGCTGCAGGCTGCTGCCAAGTTCCACCTGCCAAAGATACAGCAGCCTTCCTCATGGCCACCCCGAACTCTAACATCCCTGAGTCTTTTCTCACCTGTCTCAGCTGCTTTTCCTGGTAACCTTGATGGACAGGGTGACCCCCTCCTTTCCTCAGCAAATTGGTGGTCCACACAAGCCATCACAGGAGAGAGGTGCAGAGGCAGGCGATGATGCCTGTATCAGGTTGGTGGTCTTCACTAGCCATCACAGGAGGGAGGTGCAGAGGCAGGCGGATGATGCCTGTATAAGGTTGGTGGTCCTCACAAGCCATCACAGGAGAGAGGTACAGAGTCAGGCAGCCAACACAAAGACTTTTCCCAGCCCTCACTCCAGCCTCTTCCTCCTTGCTGCCACTAATACCAGATGCTTTGCTGGGATGGCCAAGGAAGAGCACAGGCCTCGCCTAGAGAACTGAAAGGGGAGAAAGAAAAAATGAAGCTACACATTGTGTGTGTGTGTGTGTGTGTGTGTGTGTGTGTGTGTGTGTGTGTGTGTGCGCTACAGCGTATTATGAAGTCAGGACAACTTTTGGTAGCCATTTCTCTCCTTCTACCATGTGGCTCCCTAGAATCAAACTTGGACCTTCAGGATTGGCAGCCAGCCCCTTTGCCTGCTGATCTATCTTCCTGAGCCAAGCACCCCAGTTTAAAGGAGTCTCTGCCATCTGGCTAGCAACTTCAGGGTGAGCCTGGAGGCTGGTCTCCTGGGCGATCTAGCCTGTCAAGTCAGCAGTTGACACTATCACAAGGCCATTCCTTTTCCAGCACACCTGTTGCTGAAATTCCTCCTCAGGGGCTGACGTAAGCCCTGTCTACCCTGACCCTCAAGGGTCAGCTGGCAAATCAAGGCAAGAGTCACTCTAGAGAGCTAATACATTGACTGGGCTTACTTACAAAGCATAGGTTAGGGGTTACTTTCTGGAATGCAGGTGCCCCCCGCAAAAGGCCACACCAGAACACCTTTACCCAACAGAGATGATGGTGCTCCCATAGCCACCCAGATGAAGACCCTTCCCTTAGCCTTCATGGGTCTGTATACTCAAGCCCCTCCCTTGGGCCATGTGCAGTGGGCAGAGTTGTACACAGCAGGCAGTACGAAGAGCCAGGTACCCAGAGGAGGGTCTCATGGCCCTGTGCACGCCTATATGAGGGATGTAAACAGTCGACAGCTGAGCTCGCAAAGATGGCAAAGATGGCTGTTGTTTGGCTTCCAGAATAGTTAGTCCTGTGCAGCAATGCTGTATACCCCTCCCTCCCCAAAGTCTGTGACTGTCTGTGACCGTGACTGTCCTCGTCCTGTGACTGTGACTGCCCTCGTTCTGTGGGTGGACAAGTTCAGGACTGAAGTAGTTCAGGGTCACCGCCACAGCAATCAGCCTAGCTTTGAACCAGAGGCTTTGGCCTCACATGAACTCAGTTGCATCTCCGCAGGAAGGACCCAGAGATAAACAGTGTGACTCCTTTTACAGACACAGACAGGAATCTGAAGGGGGACCTCGGTCTTCTCTGCTGCAGGCCAGTCTGTGGGCCACAGGGAAACAGTCGTGCCAGTTTTTTCTCCAAGTCCCATGTTCCAGTTTGCTTAGCACAATTGATGCCTGCTGTCCTAGTCACCCTGGCCGGCTAAAAGGCTGAACAGCCTGATGGAGCCTGGGAGGCCTTTGCAATTACATTAGCTTCTGGCATCATGAAAGGGAGATGCTAGCCTCACCCTCCCTCCTCCACTCCTTCCTCCGGCTCCCTGGGACTTTGTGATTCAGCAGCTAGTCAGAGGCAGGCTAGACTGTGGAGCATTGGCCGGCAGCGGCTGTCATCACCACCTTAAGACTGCCACTGAGTGAAGAGGGAACCTGACTTGTTGGGCCCCCAATAGAGTGACACCCCCCCCACCCGTCCTGTCTGGCCAGAACTGATTGAAGGGCAGTGAGAGGTGGGTGTGCCTGAGGTGGGGGAGCCCTGCCTTTTCATAGCCTGCTATGTCAGGGATGGGGGAGTCCCAGATACCTAAGCTGCTTCTCAGCAGGCTCAGCCGTTAAAAATACCAAATGGTTTTGCTGAAAAGGACCCAGCCGGAAACCTCTGAGAATTTCCTATTAGGGCAGTGCCTTCCTGGGCTGGAGCCAGGCACCTTATGGATTCCTCTCTGCCATTCAGTTGTGAGCCAGCTGCCCCCACTGTCAAGAGCCACCCCCCTTCCTCCCACGTGTTTGTCAGGCCCCAGGGTTGCCTTCTACCCCTGCACCCACAGCTCCAGGAGGGTGGGGCTTGAGAGCCTCAGAACTAAACCAGGGTTCCCTGTTTGGGCCCCAACCCAACCACAGCCACGCATTGACTGATGTTGGACAAGGAAGTGTCTATAAGCCTTGCCCTTCTCACCTGAAAGGGGAGAACACAGCGTTGCTAGGGGGAGAGATCCAGGAATCCTAGGTGGAGGGCTGCAGACTCTGATGGCAGGACAAGCCCAGAGGTTCTGTCTGAAAGCCTTTTGGGAAATTTGAGCACATTGCTCCTGCTTCATATGAATGCCCCTAAGGTGTGGCCGGTGCTGGTACTGGTGCTTATGCAACCCTGGCCCAGCCTCAGAATTCCAAGGAAGCATTTTGGGAACACAGATAACCAAGTAGGTATGGGTGGCTCCACCCTGGGTTTCTAGCCAGCTTTCTAGATGGTTCTGTTGAAGGGTCAGCCTGAGTTTCAGTGTGGTACTTGGTGACATGTGCCTCATTCCTCTGTCCCCCTGTCCCATGGGGACAGCTAGCCTGCCTCCCCACTGGGGCTGCTAACCAGCTCGAAGACAATCCCAGACAGCCTTCAGCATGGAGAAGGAGGCCTCTGAAGGGAGGGCGCCACTCCTGCTTGGCCACCGGCAGCACTGGGAATGGCCAGTGTACTGTGGAGTTCTAGAACACTGCAAGCCCTTTGGGAAAATGGCGGCTCTGAATTGCCAGCCGTGGCCTGCTCTTCCCCCTTGGCCAGCCTCAGTGGAAGATCTCAGAAAAGGAATTTCCTCTCTGGGTGGGAAACAGCCACCACATACCAATCCTTTCCCTACTGGGAGCCCTCCCCGCATCTGAACACCAAGGGGGCACTGGAGGCAGAGGCAGGCTGGGGCTCAGCAAGTGTCCCAGCGATGAAACACCATGAGTGAATTGGGGAGGAAAGGGTTTATTTGACTCACCCTTCCGTATCACTGTTCATCACTGGAGGAAGTAAGTACAGAAACTCAAGCAGGAACCTGGAGCAGAAGCTGACACAGAGGCCTTGGAGGGGAGCTGCTTATTGGCTTGCTCCTCGAGGCTTGCTCAGCCTGCTTTGATATGAACCCTGGACCGTCACCCCAGAGATGGCCCCACCCACAATGGCCAGGCCCTCCCCCATCAATCACTGATTAAGAACATGCCCTACAAGCTTGCCTGCAGCCTGATCTTCTGGAGGCATTTTCTCAGTTGCCCTCCTCTCTGTTGATTCTATCTGTGTCAAGTTAACATAAAAACTAGCTAGCACATCAAGGGGGCAGGATGAGAGCCCACCCTCTTCCTAGTGATGGTATACAGATTTGTGTCACCAAGCCCTACTCCCCACCCTTCCTAACAGTGCAGCCTCTGCCCCACAGGCCCTGCAGATTTTCATCGCCCCAGGGGCTCATTCTAGCACTCAGGAGGCCTGCCTGGTTTTGTGAGGCTGTCTCAAAACCTAACAAGAAATGCAGCTTCCCAGACCCTGCCCAAAGCTCGGGAGAGGGAGTGGGGACTGTCCCAGCATCTCTGCCTCTGTAGGCCAATCATCTTTCCTGTTGCCTAAGGCCACGCCCTCAAAGCTCTGAATCTGAGGCTGCCCGCCCTTCTCCACTGAGACCCTTCTCCAGGGAGCAGATCCAGCTAGCTAGTTTGCTTGGCCAAAAATAGGTAGCAAGTGGCATTTTCTTTGGTCCCCAGGGACCAGGAGGGCAGTTCCTCTTGTCTCCAGATAGGTCCCAAACTGGCTCCTGAGCCTTAACAGAACTCAGATTTTAGGAATTCCATGAGGCTGGGGAAGGGAAGTTGGGGGAATGGAGGGTACTGACAGAGCAGCCAGCTTTGGGGTGTCTGCCTCTGCTTGTTACTGACCCTAGGTCGACCTGCTCGCCAAGGGCAGAACTGGGCAGACTCCAAGCAGGGCAGCTGGAAGAGGGGAGGGACTATATGCTTATGGTTCAACAGTTATTTTAAGTGATAGGATTAGAACCTAGTGCTCACTTTAGAAGCTCAGTCTCCACCCCTGCCACTCCCAGCTTCCTAGGTACCCCTGCTGAGTGTTCCGAGAGAAGGCCCAGTGTTAGCCTTAGCCTTTCAAGAAAAAGAACTGCAGATGCTAAATATTGTTCCCGCAGGCGATGTTTGCCCACCACTTGCGCCAGTCCCAAAAGATGGAGTGGGCTAATTGTGCCAGTCCCAAAAGATGGAGTGGGCTAAAGCAGCTAGTGTGGGCTTTAAGGAGCCGTGGGGGGATGGGGGAGGACACCATGGAATCAAAGAGTCGCACAAACTAACTGAAGGAATGAAAGCTTGCTGAGGAAGTCGCTACTTGTCTAGCGAGGCAAAGTATTCCAGCGATGGGGAGTGGGTCCGCCAATGGTCAGAGCCTGGGTTCTAGCGATCGCCCACCCTCCGGTAGCCTCAGTTTCCCTGTTTAGCAAGCGCACTGGAATCTGATAGCCTTCTTGGATCTATTGAGGATTAGGGAAAGGTGAGCCCCTTTGGGCAGGCCGGGGCGCGGTCCGGTGAGGGCTGCGGAGCGACAGGGCGGGGCGGGGCGAGGAGGCCGATCGCGCCGTGGGGAGGCCGGGCTGCCGAGGCGGCGGGCGGGTATCGCAACGCGCAGTGCGTGCAACTGCGGAGCGCGCGGCTCGCTGAGCCGCGGCATCACATGAGCAGAGGCGCCGGGAGCTGCCACAGCGCGCCGGTGTGCGCCCCAAAGCTGCAGCTCCGTGCCCCCCGCCCACCCTAACCATGTCTATTTGTTGTTGTTTCTTTTTCAGAGATTATGGCAGTTCCAAAAGGAAATCAGGTAAGAGAATCTCAGCGTCTGTCTTTCTCACCTTCCAGCTGCATGCACCTGTCCCTCTGATCCTGCGCAGGACTTTTGCGGGCGGGGGCAGGGAGGGGGATGCCTTTCTAGCCTGCGGCACTATCGTCCTGCCTGCCTCGGGGTGGGGGTGCACATCTATTGCCCCCTCCCTGTCCCTTGCCCTCCAAGTTCTCTGCCACGCACACCTTCATTCTCCTCCTTAGTCTATCTGACTCCTGAATGGGAGTAGGGGTGCATGGGGCAGGGGATGTCTCAGGACGGCCTAAGCCCCTGCAGCATCTGCAGCCGGATCCTGCATCCCAGCTGCAGGAGCCACTGCTGGCTACCGCTGTGGCTTTCCGGTTCGTCCTTCGCACTGCACTGCGATGGAAGAGTTTGTGGATATGCAGGTTCTTCAGCGTGGGAAAGTGAGAGGGAACTGAAAAGAGGTTGCTCTTGAGAGACTCGGGGATTGCTGCACCTCACCACTGACCCGAACCCTCCCCCAGCTCTGAGCTTGCACTGCTCAGTGCTGTGGGGTCAGCTGCAGTAGTTTGCAGAGCTGGGGGGGGGGGGGTGGCGGTGGGAGCAGGTGTAGGTGCTTCCCAAGCAAGAGCGAGGTTCCGACACTATCCCTGGAGGGCCAAAGAAAATTCCTTCTGGGCGGGGGAGGCTCTCCCAAATGGCACACCGCCTGGGTGTGGGTGGGGTGTAGTTAGTTGGGGGAGGGTGATCTTTTGTTAGTGTGATGAGTTGGTGAGTTTTGGGGTGCGGGGCTGGGGCAGACAGAGCGAGCTATATTGGCACGTCTGTTTCCTGTATGTGGCATGGCGGGGCAGCATTGTGGACAGTCTCCTGAAGAGTCTGACCCCTGGGACTGTGTTCAAGGCCCCTAGATCTCAATGCCGGGGGACTGTGGACCAAGTAGAGGCTTGTGTGCCGCCGCGATGGGTGGGAGCTGAGGTGGAAGTAATTGTATTCTGTGTCCTTGTAAACACAGGTTTGGGTGTGCTGGGTGTACACACGCTGTCTTGTGTCTGTGTGTGGGAGGCCACGGGTTGGTTGTGTGGACATGGGTGGTCCTGCTGGTAACTGTGCCTAGGCTGGGTGTCCTCCGTGGGCTGTAGGCTGAAGCCTGTTGAAGCATGCTTGTGTACTTAGTTGTGGGGTAGCATGTGTGTGTGTGCAGATGACTGCTGGGCCAGGGTAGCTCAGGTGGCTCTGCAGCTGCGAGGCTTTTCTTTCTGTGGCAGGAGCCTGAAAAGTTTGGTCATCAACACTGCCAGCCAGAGTCCCCAGGGAAACCGGGCTGAAGGGGCAAAACTGGGACTGGGATAACCAAGACGCTTGTTACTGCTGAACCCCAGCTTCCTGTGTGGCCTTGGGAAGTCTCTTGTTGCCGTTATGCTTAAAACAGTAAATAATAAGGATGCCTGTCTCATGTGATATAGAATGGCTCTTAGCGCCTAATAAAACCATAACCCTATGAAATAGTATGTGTATCATACTATATATAGTCCTGTATGATACTGTAGCCGTAGCGTTAGTATATAGAGCGTTATTTTTGTGGTCCTCCGGTTTAAGTTGGGGGGTGTGCCCGCTCCTCCATGCCCCACCCAGGCTACCTCTTCAGTTTCTCTGCCTTCCATTTTCATCCAGGCAAAGGACGGATGAGGAAATTTAATTTACATTGGTATGCTTATGGTAATGGCCACTTAATGTCATGGTTAAAATGGCAGGCTGGAGCCAGGCATCAGGCATTCAGAACCAGGCTCCTCTTCCCTGTGACTCATGGGAGATTTCTCCCTCCCAGGACCCATTCTGTCTCCGTAAATTAGGGATGTTTACATCCACTTTGTGGTGGTTAGCTGTTTTTCTTTAGATCGTTATCTTCGTATGTCCTCAGGTGGGCCATGGTGCTTGGTCAGCCCTTAATTTGTGTGTTTCTATGATGCTGTTGTTTAATGAAATTAACATTTAAATCAGTGAACCCTGAATAAATCCAATTATCCTCTCTAATGTGGGTGGGCCTCATCCAGGCAATTGAAGGCCTTAATGGAACACACACACTCACACATGCATGCACGCACACACACATGCACACACACTCACACATACACACACGCGCACACACACGCACGCACACGCCAACCAGGAGCTCTGCTGTAGCTTGCCTTTGGACTTGACTGCGGCTGGTTCCCAGGCTCCCACCCGGCCTCCCTCATCACAGACTCGGTACTCAACAAGCTTCCGCAGTCACATGTGCCAACTTCAGAAATAGTTTTTTTTCTATATGCACATCGTCTTGGCCTGTTTCTCTGGAGAGCCCTAACACACACGTAGGTGGCAGCGATGAAGACTGGATCAGTTGATACTGTGGGTGTGCTTAGATCACTGCCCGCAGCAGCACTGTTACTCAGTGAGCTCCCGCGCCCAGAACTTTACTTTTCATGGCCCACTCAGCCACACTGTGTGGTGGCTTTTGCAAGGAGAAACTTAAGCTCCAATCTGGTGATGGTCCTCGACTCTGGATACATGCAGAATCAGAGTCCAGGTTTAGGGCTTACCCCAGCGCTGTGGTGAAGCCTCTGAGGTTTGCTCACACAGAAGAGGGATGCCTTTTCTTATCTTTGCTTTCCAGCCTAGTTCCAAAGCTTGACCCTTTGCTAATGGTGGAACCACTTGTCTGGAGACACGGTCTGGCTGTTGGGGCCAGGTTGTCCTCTGTCTCCTGCTCAGGGAGCAGGCGCATGTCACTTAGGACATGAGGGAAGGCTGGGGTCAGGATGCTCACATAGCCTGTGCAAAACCTAGGTTTAGTCCCCACACCCAATACACCCAGATTGGTGTGTGCCTGCATCCTCACCACTCAGGAAGCCTAACAGGAGGGTCAGAAGTCCAGAGGGATGTCTGGCTTCTATGATAGAGCCAAGGATGCTTGGCTCTATGATACGCTCCAGGCCAGCCTTGGTTACGTGAGACTATGAACGATTTCTAGAATTCCTAGAAGGAAGCTACGTCAGCACAGACTGACTGACTGAAGAGAACCTCGGTGGTGTGCAGAGGCTGCTGTGTTACCAGAGCCTAACTGTCCTGGTGCATCTTCAGCCTCATCAGCCTTTGTCGCCCTCCTCTTCATGTGACCTGACATGTTTGTGACCGCTAGGTAAATCATTTGGAATATATGAACGGAGTCCTCCTTCCCGCCAGCCAAATGCTAAGGGTACCGTCGGATTTTTCTGAAGCCTATAGCGGAGCCCTCCTCCTGCTCCTCTTGCAGCTGTTGCCTGGCAACCTGATGCATCCAGAGTGTTTGAAAAGCATTTAACTTTAGGACTTTCTTTGCTCCAGTTACTGTAGACAGATTTCTGTCTCTCTGGAACCTGTTATTTGGGGAAACCTGGACCGGTGTTCTTGGTTGTGGTTACTTGTATACTCATATTCCGCTCTGAAATGAACCATCCCCATGGACCGTCCCCGCTGAGGTGACGCTTGCTGCTTTGGTTGACAAGATCCTGCTCCCCTCCCACCCTCACTCCCACCCACCCCACAAAAAATCAGAAGCAAGGCTTGGGCAGAGCTGGGGAAGGAGGATGTCAGGTGGTTTACAGCCTCTTGGAGGAGGCGGGGTGACAATTGACCTGGACAGAGGAGAGCGTGGTCTGACTTTCATCTGCATCTCTCTCCCAGCACACCTCTTTCTTTCTACAGCTTTCCTTGCCAGGACTTGGTAGTATCTGCCTATCACTAAAAGTCATCTTTAGGCCCTCCCTCCCTCTCCTATGGACTTCACCTCCAGGTCCACTCACCTCTCCAGGAAGACTCCAGCTCTCCCAGTGGCCCTCCTTGGCTTCCACCTTTACCCCTCAGTTGCCGTTCCCTGTAGCGCAGCTAGGGGGCACTCTCAAAGTTACATTCCAAACCTGCTGAAATTCCCCCAGGGACTTCCACACGGTGAAGAACTCCTTTCTTCTGGCTTACAGAGTCTTGCATAATTGACCCCTACTGCCTTTCTGACCTGGGCTCTGTCCCAACACACTCCCCACCCAGTCAAACCTGTTCAACCACACGGTCATCCTCGGCCCTCAGACGTCAAACTCATTCCTTTGCAAAAGTGGTTTGTGCTTGCTGCACCTTTGACCTGGAGTAATCTTCCTCCATTTTCCCCTTGGCTGGCTCCCTTTTGAGAATTTTGCTCTGTTGTGTACCATCTCAGAGAAACCACCCCAACCTCGCCCTCTCTGACCTGTCTCCTTCCCTGTTGATGACCCCTCGAGCTGTCTTGTGCGTATTCATGCTTCCTGTCCATCTCCCACCACCCTGGAAACCTGGCTGTAGGGTTTGCACCGGTACAAGCTCCACCCACTTGTTAAGAGGTTTGGAGATTATGAGTGCCCGCATCTCCCCGTGAGAGTCTGGAGAGGGTGGCCTCTCTCTGGGCAAGCAAGATTAACCATGGTTTTAGCTGTCCTTCTTGAGCCCCCGCTGTGTTCAGGGTACTGCCCAGGTGTACGAGCTACAGGAAAATGCCTGCTGCTTGGGAGCTGGCAGCGATGAACTAAGGTGCTGTGTGGTGGGGGAAGTGATTGGGTGGCGAGGTTAGTTGACCAAGAGCACAGCAAGTGGGAGGGCCCAAGGCCTGTGAGAGCCAGCCAGCTCCTCCAGCAGAAGGGCTGTGCAGGGTGGAGATTGAACAGGATGAGGGGCAGGGTATACGAATGGATATGTTACAGCTGGGAGAGGAGGTGGGGTGACGTAGCACAGATTACATGGGGCCTCCCAGGCCATTTTAGGGTGCTGTACCCATTTCTCTGGGAGATGAGGGACGCTAAAGGGATGTGGTGGGGCCAGGGTGATGTGACTTGGATTGGTTTTCTAGCTGGTGATTGGAGATCCATAGCATGGACAGAATACAGGTGGCGGGCCCCGGCATCAGGGGCAGCATTGGTGGGTTTGATGATTGCGGCTGGGCCTCGGGAAAGTGCGGACAGTGCCAGGCA